CTTTGCCTTCGGCCAACTTCTGATTGATCTCTGCTGCTGTGTGCCTGCCAAAGCTCATGCGACGGGCCGTGAGTAGTCGGTCTGGCAAGTTGCGTTGATTTGACGAACAGCTTGGCGATCTTTGGGGAGGGTATCCACCGAACGTCCGACATAAGTCTTTGAGAAACAGCATCCCTTGAGTGAGAAAGCAAGCCACGCAAACAGTTTCCACCGTCACCAAATGCCTTGCCAATGCATGAACACTTGGCATTCGCACAGTAAACTTGTCTGCACCCAGTTGCGGGTTATCTTATGCCAAGAGAATTGGCGCGGACGCAAACAAACCCAGCCCACCACCCCGGGAAAATACCACAATAGAAACTACTTAGAAGCTGACCTGCCCTGCAGCTTGAAAAGATACTCAGATACTTCCAGGTGTTGCACAAGGGTGGCTCTTGGATGGTATGGCTACCCAGAACCCACTCCAAGCAGTTTGGCCTACGTCTCCTTTTTGGGGCCCTCTATCTGAGCAGCTTCAGGGCTTCTGGACCTGGTCTTCAGGTGAGAATCTATGAGCAAGTGGACTCAATCTAGGTCCACTTTCTGACCAACTAATTCCCAATAGCAAATTAGCTGGCCATCAACTGCCATGCCACTGGATATTTTCCAAAAATCGCCAGCCTCTGAGATCTGTCCAGCCACTGAGTGTCCAGCCCCAGATCCCTCCCCTTCATCACCCAAAATACCTCGCCTGGGTTCACAAACAAAGACACCTTCGAAGTCTCGGAGCTCTTCCTGGCACTTCAGTGACCCCTGACCCGAACACCCACTGAATTCGGACTCGGACCCCGCACCTGAACTGATGCGGCTTTTTCATGAACACGACAAACACATTGAAGAAAACAACCGAGTCCTGAAGCGATGTATGGACCAAACAAACCGAAACCATACCTCACCACTCACCACTACTCCTCCTTCTCTGATCTACCATCTCTGTGGCGTTTTACGCTTTTGACATGCTATTTTCACAGACCCCCCCCATAATGACCGTCTCAATCCCATACCGTGATCCAGCTCTGGTCCCAGCTCTGTCCCTCCATTCCCATGAGACCCCAACCTGCCTGGGCCAACGAGAAGTCCACGCCCACTCGCCCCTCGTGCGCCCGCGGCACCGCCAAGCGGTAGCGCTCATCGCCAGGACTCGGGAGGTGAGAGGTGAGGGGTGGGAGGTGAAGTTTCCTGAGATCAATGGCAATGGTCTAGTCATGTCTATAGTCTATAGATGTCTATAGTCTAGTCTTTCATTTTACATTGGTGAACAGATTTGAGGGTTCTTGCAATTTGCAATACCCACTTGGATGTATCTTGGAAACATATCCCGAGACCATGCTTTGACCGGTGGACCGTTGGGGTCGCTAATTCAAAAAAACAACATTTGGGCAAAATAACTGGCAAGAACTCAGTCCAATGCTGCACAGAGTTGAACATCAGGAACAAAGGACATGATGCAACCTCGCCCTTTCCAATGCGCACACATCGTGCTCCGGAAACATCGGTGCTGCAGCCCGGTGTCCGAGGATCCCAAGCATCAAATGAAAGTGCCTTGGACTTTGGACCGATTCCCACAGGAAGAAACTGAAACCGCCTTGCCGCCGCTTCGGGTCCGACCGAGGTGGGGAGCTTCGAGCTCACGGTTCGCCCCGTTTTGGCGTCCCAGAAGCTCTTTGACGATAAAGGGCTTCTCAGCGATGACCTGACATGGTGGGCTAGCATGGGTTTTCAGCCAGCCACTCACATATGAGGAAGCACATATATCAAGACAATCCAAACAAATATCCAAGAATAAACGTTGGGCACTGAGAGTGCAATGGTCATGTTACCTTGCAACAGCTGAAGTGGATCCCGAACATCGACCAAACGCGTAGAAGTTCGGCAGTTTTGAGTGAAACAGGTCAACCGCGGAGTGCTTTCATGCACATAATGTCTTGGACTCACAGTCTTTGTGTGTCCTGTACAATTGTGGATGATGATGATGGTGATGATGATGATTATGATGCAAATATCGTATATATGAAGTGTGTGTATATATATATATACAGTAGGCCATTTGTGGATACAGCTCCATGACTAGCTCCATGCCAATACTTACCACTGCTGCAAGCAACACCTCAGTCCTATCAGGTTCAGCTCACTTGCTAAAGTTTGGGTGTACCCATATCCATATCCATTTATATATGGCTTTGTATACATGTCCTAGTTCCGGATATCTTTAGGAGGTTTGCTTTTCATCTCTCAAAGGAAAGCCAGGCTAAGACCACTTGCCAAGAGAAATTTAAAACTGCTAAAACTACACCAATAAGATCCAATAAGCATTGGATGTTTAGAACATAATATAAGAATATAGGCACAATTTGCTGGCGGATGGGCATCTCTTATTGCAATGAGATCGATCATGTGCATGATTATTTGGCGTTAGGTGCCTGTAAGGCTGTCCATCCGCTGGCAAGAAACACAAGCGGTTGATGCTTAGTGAATTTCAACAAATCTCTTAAATCGGCACACATCCACTCAATCGAACAACTGTACTATCATCAATACCTACTGTAATCATCATGTTCCAACCAGAACCATAATATATAGAACCCTCCTCCAGCCGATTCGCCATTTTCGCCGATTCGCCATCCTTCCCCCATTCCTCAGAACTTATCTGCCGGACCTGGGTGGACTTCACACTGCTGTACACCGGGGCTTTCATCACACCTCACGCGACGTACCGGTCCATCGGTGGTTTTCCGAAAAGAAGGGCATTCAACCGGCACCGTCGGTCAAATCAGGGTTGTTTGTTTGTGTCTGGAATTTTATGTCATCCTCATGTTGTTCACAATGTTGTTTGTTTATGTTTAATTCGGTTTGATCCTATTCTTACTGTTGCTTTCTAACTCTAGCATCGCTTCAGGAGCTTGTGATTAACCTTTAACTTAAATAGATTAATCCCTAATCCAAATCAGTGATAATATACAGTAACATTTGTCTTCTGTCATCTTATCTTCAGCTATTTCAATCTTCACTTGTACAAAAAGAGACAGAAGTAAACCTGCTACAGATGTAAACGACGGGGAATATGTTTTCTTCTAGTCTAAACCTGTCCTCTCAACCTGTAAATTTCCTAATACATACCATAAATAAAGTTAAGTAACTATGGGAAAGAAAAGCAACCAAACAAATCGGAAAGAAAAACAACATTAAAACAATGCACTTATAACTTATTATATTCAATAAAACACAAGCAAATAGCCCAATAAGGGGATTGCAAGCAGCAACTGAATATGCTTCGTGGTCTGTGTTAAGCCATGGCCAAACGAGACATACCCAAAAGACACCAATGCCACAGCAGTCTAATGATCCATCAGGTGAGAATTCATCCAGGGCGGCCTTCCAACCTCGATGGTCCATGGCGGTGTTCCATGTGTTCTACCACAGGATCCAGCTGCATATGGCAATGACCAATGGCTCCAAACAAACACTACCCATGTCATCCATCCAAGTGATTCCATTCTTGGTTCCTTACACAAAACAGTATTTTAGAAAGCAGCTTTTGTGGTACCTTGCAGGGAAATGGCGTTTGGGTTGCTTGGTCACCAACACGGCACTGGCCTCTGGTGTCACACCCTTCAGACCCGTCCACCGGTCGCCTGGCTCCGTGTGCGGTGCTCCGGGGCAGCCGACGAAGACGAAGTTCCAGGCACCTGGACGGCCCACATGGTACGCGACGACGCTTGGGCCACAATGCACGGTACGCCTTGATTGGGAGATACAGATAGACACACAAATCGATCAACAGTTACACATGTTTTCTATTGCTTTCTCTACTGACAAACTGTCAAGGTCAAACACTTGGATTTCTTGGCTTCAAGCATGCTCTGACAACCATGGGGTTCGTTCTCAACGTTATGACTGACAATCAATTATGATTCTGATTCTGATGCATGTTGTTTTAAGTTGTGTTTGATTCTGATTACTGTTGTTGTTTATGGAATATGTTTGAACATGTTTGAACACTTGTTTGAACGTATTCTGAAAGTCAAGTCACTGCTGGTTGGTGCTCACCTCGTGCATGCACCCTGCGGCAGAAACAAAGTAGACAACATATATAACAACATAATTTAGAGAAGACATCCACTGTTCGGAACACCTTTTTCCCATCCTTTTCCCTCTTCCAGATTCTGAACATGCTTCCCGACTGCTCACTGCCCCAGAACAGCGTGGCGCCCCCCTTTGCGGCGCGGTGGAAGCGGTCGCCGCCTGTCTGCCAGCTGCGGGCCGAGCAGTTCCGAGCGAAGAACTGCTGCTGGGAGCCCAGACTCACAAAGCCGTTCACCTGGGTCCAACACGAACTCAGCGCTGTGTCCATGATTTGCTGTGAAGGTTTAAGTGTGCCAAGGGGTGAGACTGATAAGGGGTGAGCCTGTGACCGTTGGGGTCGATGCAAAAGAACCAAGTGGAATCGGAGCAACCGGTGGGTCATGAAGTCCGGATCAGAATCAGCCAAAGCAACTCAGAATCATCAGATTGCCAACAACAACATCTCCAGGAATGTGCTGTTTCATGCAGCAACATGATTGTTGGTCAACACCCAGTGGTCTGTCTGACAGTGAGCAACACCCAGTGAGCCTGTCTCAGATCAAGTCAAAAATGCTTTTGAACACTGTCAACGGCAACAGGGACACTATCAAATAAGTAGTCGACCAAAGCTCCTCCACCCAAGAAATCCCTGCTTCCCCCATCTGACTCCGCCTGAACGTTGGCCATGTAGCCACCACCTGAAGCAGCTTGGGGAGTTGCAAATACCAATGTGAAAGGGTCTGGAACCAGAAGTGTTTCTTCGCCACATCACAACACCCTTGCTCCAAAAGCCTTGATCAATACATGATTGGCCACTGTAACGCGATGTTGACGAACTAAATTGGTTGGAGACCTCACATGGTGGTGTTTGTGTCTTGGCATGGTCTTCGGCAGCTTCGAACCCAGCACAGCGAATCGGCGAAAGGCATAGGTGGCTGTGGATCGCCAGGACCTGCTTGACCAGCGAAAATGATCAGAATAGCCTAGGAGGGAAGTCAATCATGGTCAATCTATCAGCTTTGGGCCCAGGCTGACAGCGCCTTCACCATTCCAGCACCACTCCGTCTAGGTTTGGACCCACTGCCACATCAGAATTCTTCGCTCAACCGTGAAGGTCGCTGGAGGTCCCTCAAACCCCGTGGTCTCCTGGAACGGTCGTCCCCATCGGAGGCACTGGCGAAATCGCCGATGGGATCGGTATAGCCCAACTCGACCCAGCCGTCGTAGTCCAGGGCAACCCCTTGTTTGGGATACCTGGCAGTGCAGTGAGCATTGAACACCGAGGTTTTACCATAACGCAAAGTAGAGTCGTAGAGGTCTATGGCAAGACCTATGATATAGAATATTGAGCATATATATATATATATATGATTGTTGACTTTTTCTGGCTATCTGAGGTCAGTGATCACTAGCACTATTGAATACATTAATTGCGAAGCTCAAAAGTAAGATTACCCAAATGGGGTTGTTGGCAATCATAACGTGCGACTTGTGCTGGAGGAAAGGGAACGATTTTAGTTGAATAATTCAGCAAAGAACTTCAGAAAAACACAACAACATAGCCGCATAGCAACGAACATTGCACGTCAACCATTCCGCGTTGGTGTCAGCATGATTAGAAACACACCGTTTCCGGGTTCTTCCTCTTGTCATGATGAGCCATGCCCAACCTCCATGATGCTTCACGTGCCGCGTCACGCGCGCACCCCGGGCGCACCTGGCATCCTTGGAGGTGACGCCCTCGGGCGGAATGCGCAAATACCAAAGGAAGAGGTTGTGGTCGACCTGGCCAACACGACACACCGGAAGGGCGGAATACCAAAGGGAGGGCGGTCATGGCACACCCAGACGGTTCTGGTGAACATGGTGAAGACAGAGTAGACGAATAAGTAGACTGAGTCAGACATGGTCAACCTAACAGGGGTCAGCTCGTGGCTCCAGGTGCGACTCACAGAGCCGAACGCCACTGGTCCATGTACTTCTGGTCCTTCGGGATTGGAAGAGCTGGACGACTTCCCGGCTTCCCCGCTCAATCAAACTCCACGTCTGCGATCCAGTGCACTTTAGAAACCCTTCGCACCCGTGGCGTGTCCTCAGTTTGGCTGGACCATGGGCACTGAGAAAGCCTACCTACAAAAGCAGCAGCACAGTCATGACTCATGAGATTCATGACTATCATTAAAGGTGGGCTATTCATGACGATCCTCCCTTGCCAGGAGTAGTCTCCTCTTCGCTTCATGTGAAGCTTGGTAGTTCTCTGTGCGGATGCAAATCTTCTTCTCAAGTGGCGACGGTCTGTGTGAGTCCGTGTTGAGTCTTCAGCCGAGTTCTGCAATCTGAATGTGAGCCTGCATTGTGGCTCCGATAGAATATAGAAAGCAGTTGCAAGCATCTATGCTCAATGTTGTTCATTGTAGGTGTTTGAACAAACAAGTCACTGATTCAACGAATCTGACATATTCTGACTGAAAGACTAGTAGAAAACAATTACACATTCATCAACATAGATCATGTTGCTGACTTTTCTTGGTCAGAGATCTGCAACAACCTATGTTTCAAGGGGCTTTAAGATCGTTCTTAAATATTTCAATTTCTATAAATATGTTGCAAGAAGATTCTGTAGTATTAATCCTAACAAATAGATTCTGGGTTGTATGCATGCCCTTGGCTGTTTGTGGGGCTGAACCAAAAGCTTGTTTAAATTCATTTATATTGTTACCTATAGTTACTGACTGTTTGCAGTCTCCCGAATGGCACACCTTCTGCCAAGCGTCATGAAACCTGGAACAAGTTACCAAGATTTATCGGATTGCAGTACCTATATTACCTATATATATACACTCCGACTCACAAACATGGAAGTGGAAAATGGGCCCTTGGAATACCATGTTCCTTTGCAAACGGGCGGTTTTCCACTTCCACGTTAGTGAGTCGGAGTGTACTCTGATCTTAGGAGTAGCAGTGACATGTGCTGACTGCGTGCACCTGGCCCCAGCAATTTCGAGCATAGGTTGGTGTGACATGTGCTGATTCCGCCGTTCACACCACGGACAGGGAATGAGACGGGGATGTTGCCAATACTGTCATGATGTTGCCAATACATCGTCACCCGGAAAACATCACAGCTGGTCTTCGAATGGTCTTCAACATGCAACACCATTCAACATGCAACTGGGACATCTGGGAGACCCTTGATCTTGTAGAGTCAATCTTGATCTCCCCATGTCCATCATCCCCTCCCAACAGGAGCCCGTCAAAACCATGCCAGCGCTGCCACCACACGACGCAGCGGTGCTGCTTGACTCACCGCCCAAAGCATACCCCCCTCACGGTCCACGGAGTATGTGAGGTGACCACCTGTGGGATGTGACTTGGAGACTCGGTTGGATCGGTTCTGGAACGTTTGGAGCGAAGAATTATGAACATTTACCATTTACGATATGATCTCCTTCCCTTGGAAATCCCAGCGGATTCTGTGGATAAAAAGGTGGAGGACGACGACACCGCATTTTTGCACCGCGTTTTGGCACGTGTTGAATGAAGGCGCTCAGATTTCACTGTAGGCTCTCCCAACCGTGAACGATAGCCAAAGTATGTCATTGGAAAAAGGATGGTAAATGGGTAGACCAGTGCCGGTGGCGTTTGTAAGTGCTTTCAGAGGCGCGGCTCCAACAGGTTGGTAAATGGTTCTTCAGGCCAAGCCATCTTGAATATTCTCGTTCCATCCTTCCGAAGTGCCTCTCGAAGCCCATCTTCCCCCTCGTGCTCTGCTGCCGGGACCCTGGCGACGCCTGTCTGCAGGTTCTCCGCGGAACGCCAGAAGTTCTGCAGCGAACCCAGCTCTGGATGAGGCGACTCGTTCGTGGAGGTCACGCTGCGAACCTGGGTGCCAAGGAAGAGCCGCGGTTAGAATGAACTCAAGTGCAACATGCAAAGATTCAAATTCCATACTAAATATGTTTGGTTTCTTATGTAAAACACAGCACCTTTGAAGCGGTTCTTCAGCATCACTCATCGATTTCAAACGATTTCAACATTGTTGACGTACCACCTTTCTTGCTGTCTAAGTAGTGAGTTCAGGCCTTCCTCTCAAGTCCCTGAAAAATTCCATCTCTTTCACTTGGCTCCGCTTTCCGTGGCAAACGCGCCTGGGTCTCACTGGGGTGGCGCCCCAAGCCATAGACCGAGGTGTAGTAGCCCACACGGAGATCCACCTGACTGCTGAGCAGGCAACAGCATGCGATGCGATTCCAACAGTTGATTGCGAGACAGGAATGTAGCTCCATCAAATGCTTTGAAACATGCTTTTCAGCCACAACACATGAGCTGGAGGTCGGAAAGTTCCTGTCACTGAAGGTCACCAACGGTCACCAATCTGCCAAAACTGTAGAAACCGGTTTCATCTCCAAAGGTCTCTCTCAACTCGGAAGCTTTCGACCTCCCGGTGCCTCATGAACCTTCTCGGAAGCTTCGAAGAAAAGGGCGTAGCGCTTCTTGGAGAATTGTCCTTGGCAGCCACGCCTGGTTCTCGCCTGCTAGGGTCGCCTGCTAGAGTGAACCATACGTGAACTAACCTCTGCTTATATACATTCCAGTGACACCGTAAGGGTCCCTTTATAATAGATTTGGCACAAACAAAATCTTGTTACTAGTCTGCTAGTCATGCCAGGAGCCACTTGTCGCGACATTGCTCCTGGTAGTGATGCCCTTTTGTTACCTGTAGCTTCTTGTTACTAAGGCCCACCCCACGGTACAACTACGGTACATGAATGTCCACCAATGTCCATCGATTCGAAGCAATCATCAATCACTCCATGGTCTGGTCGAATCCGACTCGTCGGTTTGCAGTCGCGGACCAGTCGTTCTTGTCGGGTGGGAGCAAAATGGTCTGAAGGGGAGTTGAGTGCTCTCACGTTAACTGGGGGTCACTTATTAGGGTCACTTGATTAGGTTGACAAGGGGAGTGAACAATAAGGACAAAGTGAACAAGGTGAGTCACTATTATAGTGACTCTAGTTGAGTTGGGTCACTTGATACGTTGACAATGGTCGACAAACACATATTGTTCCCTTCTCGCTCCATAATTGACATTTAGCGACGAACAAGCCATTTCCAGACTAAACAAAAAGGCAAAAGTCGTGTCCAAGGGGAAGAGGGCTCAGCAATCCACAATCCCAAAGAGTTCAGCTTGGTTTCTCTACAAAAGAGCTCTGAGCTTCTATGGGCCCCCTAATGACCCCAATGTCCCCCCCTTTTTGTGGTCTCCACACTTTAGAACATCTCATCCAAAGATATCCAAAGTGGCCTTTGTCCAAGGACTTCATCTCCTGACGAAAGCGAGTGGGTGCCGCTGGATGGGAGGTGTAAGTGGCACTTGGAAAGGAGCTACCTCAAAACAAAAAAGGATCAGAACGGCTAAATTGAACTGTTCATCTTTGTTGCTTCTACCAAGCAAACTTCTGTTGAACGCCTTCCTTCGAACCAAAGAAATGAATGTCCCACGAACATTGCTCGACCAGTTCGTGTTGTTGCTCGACCGGACATCGTCTGCTTTTTCCCGGTGTCAAACAGTGAAACAACTTCCAATCTTTGAATGTATTTGGAGCTCCTTGGGGCGGGGCTTGCAGGGAACCTTCTCAAAGGATATGTTGTTCTTCGGGGATATCGGATATCTATTCTGGAAGACAAAGTTAAAGGCCCCCTGAAGACGATTTTCTCTCTCTCTCTATATATAGAGTTGTCTACTTCCATGATTGTTGGTAGTGAAGGGTTGTTCGCACCCCGCTGCCACCTCGTAGATCTCGTCCACCACGGCATAGTCCGAGCCCCGTGAAAGCACCTTCACCTCTGAGGCTATTGAGTGATCACGGAACCGGACAATTGTTGTTCTTGTTTTTTAAGATGCAATCTAATGCAATATATAAATATAAATAGGTTTTTTAAACATACTATTTGTTTTAAAATCAACATTTCAATGTGTGTTTTCTACATTCCTCAGATTTCCTCAGGACCCCCCAACAGTAACATGGTCGTTTTGCGGGTCCCTAGTGTCACCTGTTGGAGAGTTCAGGCATGGATTTGGGTTCTGACAAGAAATCCTTGGCGTCCTTGGCATCTGATAGGGTTCTCCCAATCCCCGATACACAATTGAACCAAACAAATCAATGGTACACATCGAATCCAGAATCCTCCAATCTGGTGGTTCCAATCCCACACGACGAACGAATGGACTATATATGACTATATTCGTCACCAGCCGCATGATCCGGCATGTTGGGTGCGCCCAGTGGCTGTCGGTGGCCATCTAGGCGGGTTGGGCTCTGAATCGCTCCAAGTGTGGCTCAAGCCTGGGAGGCGCCCCATGGCGCATTCGTGGCGCCCTGGTTCGGAGAAGAACACATTGCCCCGTTTTGAGGGAAGAAATCATTGTCATTGATATGGGATTGGGAAACAAACTGAAAGGCCCAAACTCCAAGAGAGACGTGCAACAACATCACGGCGTCGATTCCAAATCTGTGGTCTTTGGGATTTGTTCGACGCAAAAAACAAAGAGGATGGGAAACCAACAACACCTTTGTCTTTGACCCATCAAAGACCCAGAAAAACACCTCAACAAGTCTTTCTTGAAGACATCCGATGAAGAGTCTTTCCATGAACACTTTTGAACAACCGCATTCCAAACACTTCAAACAGCTTCAAGCAAGGCTTCTGGACTCCCCATCTGACTGCCCACACACTTTGCGCCCCCCCACGCCTATCGCAGGATCTGCAGGATAAGGCCCTTTGGACATCAGCAGCCGGGGTGCCGACTCCGACTCAACCGCTGGAACGGCCGCCTCCTGATGTTGGCCAGCATGTGAGAGGTCAACAGATCTGAAAACACAAAGCATCACAAAACCCTGCAAATGCCGCAGCCTCTATGATGCTGGCTTGAAAAAGGAGTATTCCGGGCGACAAGTTGCCTCCAACGCGCAAGGTCCAATCACACCTAGGTTGTCCCCCCACAAGGAAACCCCTCACTCTCTCTCCCTCGCTACGTTCGCTCGCGGCATTTGTCGAGGTGCCAGGCTGGGAGCACCTCAGACCTGGCACCAACCCTGGCCCCCTCATCAAATAGATCAAATAGGCCATCTCTTGGGATGGATCATGTTCACACCCACATTGGGCTGGGCGGACAGGGGTCAAGAATGCTGATTGTTGCACCTGCCAACACCTGCTCACCGCAAAATCCACCTGTCAAAGCGTCCGTGAGGTTAAGGTGGAGTGGACAGCTTGGTGTGATAGCCTCATGCGCGAACGCGCAACGTCCCCAAAGGAGAAAAGGACAGTAGGTGCCTGAGAACAGTTTCACATATATACAGTATACATATGTATACATATAGACTTTCAGAAGACATATGTAAAAACAGCAAAAACAGCCCTACCAATGTGGTGTTGATTTGGTGTTTTGTTGGGTCAAATCCCCTTCTTGTGCAAGGCAAGTTCTTTCACATAAACCATTGAGAATGAAAGCTACAACATCAGGACTGTTCTCAATCTCAAAATGTCGCAAGTCCGACATGATTTTTCTTATATATATATATTATTATATCCGCTTTAGAACGATGGTCTTGAGACCCAAGAACCCCAAATTCAAGGTAAATTGAATCGATCCGTTTGACCAAAGGCACCGCTGGCTTGGCGCTCGGATCCCCGCTCCTCAAAGGTGAATTGCTTGGGAAATTCCTGCATGACCTTCTTGCGGGCGGCCTGGGCCCCAAGAACTGGACGAGCAAATGAAGACAAACACCGGCCAAACACCTGGTAAAAATCACCTGGAAATCTTTGGGAACAGGTGTTCTATGATTTCTGTTACGTTTATGCTGACACTTTTTTGTTTTTAATGTGCTGGGAGGTTCGTCAGCTGTTGAGGTTTCAACTCCATGTTGCCCCACCTTGCCTCCTGGTCCATCTGCTGGTTCGCCACCAACCATGCTGCCCGCTCCTCGGCGGAGGCCCCGTCGCAGCTGGCTTGGCCATCCCAGCGCTGACGCAGGTGGAAAACACCAGGGAACTCCCGCATGACCTGCGCGCAGGACTACCAAGAGAGGTTAAGTGACCTTATAGAACTGCACTAGGGTACCTACGGGCTGGTCTATGGGGTTCTTCAACCTGTCCTGGTGGAGTGTGATCCCCAAGTTCCATGCAACAGCCGGCCATAACCGGACAAACAGCTCATGGCCATGGGCGATAGGTACAGCGACTGAGCACTCACTTCATATAAAGAACCCAGGCTACCTGCTACTGCTACAGCGATCAAAGGAAGCAATCACTGAAACCTACACTGTACAAACACTGCTGGGTTCTTTACTCCAGCTGTGTCACCCTGCTGTGTTGGCTGCCTCTTGCTGTGCATCGGGCAGCGTTCTGCCCTGTCCCACGAGCCACTGAGCACGGTCTTTGGCCAAAAGCCCATCGCATACGGCATCTGGGCGCCATGCCATGGCGGCACAAACAGAAGTGCCACGGAATTTTGTGTAGAAACCGTGGAAACACGCACTAATCACTGATCACTTGGTGAGCTGGATGAACAAACCAAAACACCCTGACTCGTCGTTGGATCTTGTTGACCTCACAGTCGGTTGACCTCACATCTTTGGGGGTCTGCAGGATCTGCAGTCTTTGGATCTGCGGCATGGTCTCTCTGTGCTGACCAATTGGTCATGGAGCGATGGTGACCAATTTGTCATGGGATTTTGTAGTGGGAGAGAACATGGCACCGGCACCCCAAGAGGTGGTTTAGTAGTGGACCCCCATCTAAAGGACGTTTAGGGAATTGCACCATCTACTCAGAAATTCCGCAGTATTATTTGCTTCAGGGCCCTTATTACAGTGCAACTGTGCAACTGTTACAATCTGAGCAACACGTGCCGCAACACGTGTGGCATGGTCCTCCTCGAAGTATCTACTGTAGGTATTGATCCCAAAGGGGGCTGCCAGCCGGATCGAACCATACCGAATCTGTTCCTGTACAGGGTGGACAGCACCAAAAGCGGATCTCAAGGGGATCGAGTTTAGGAATCTCCAATTATTCCTATAAAGGAAGTGTCGACATGCACTGTAGCGGATCTCATGGTCGAGGAATCTAAGACGATGTGTTGATGCTGGTACATTCGCAATGAGACACCAGCATGTTACCCAAATCCGAGGCTACAAAATCCCTTTATGTTTCCCCAACAAAAACACTGACAATTCTTACGCAACCTTAAGCATGACCATACGACTCCTAAACTAAATCCCTATCATGTGTTTCCTCATAAACAAACACACTAGACATGCCAACACGATCCAAGACGTTGTAAAACCTGTTGAGATAGTAAACTGAACTGGTCACCTGATTTCCCTGAACTTCCTAGACCCCGCTCTTGCTGAGATCGCTGGGTGCCCCACTGGCAATCCTCGGTTTCATGATCCAGGCAAGAAGTCCCATAGAAAGACGTCTCTTTGGGCCTTTGAGACTTTGAGAGACTAGGAACAAGTCGCTACTAGTAATAAGGGCCTTACTAGTAGTAACAAGAAGCTATTAGAAAAAATATAGTTATTGTTCTAAATAGCAAACATTGTTACTACTAGTAAGGCCCTTGTTACTAGTAGCGATGCACTTGTTCCTAATAGCGTCTTTTTGGGCCTTTGAGACTTTGAGAGACAGCATGTGCTCCTACAAATGTCCTCCAACCCACAGCATGTGCTTTCTCCGTCGTTTGCGTTCTGTTTGCTTGGCAAGGACAAGGGGGGGTGTCAGGTGGGAGAGAGCTATTGCTGCTCCCAAACGAACAAGCTGAGGGGCAGCGTGAGTCAGTGCCTCAATGCTCGAGGGGAGGAAACACATGGTCCACAAAGCGCTGGACAGGTTTAAAAACCCCATAGACCAGCCCATAGGTACCCTAGTACAGTTCTATAAGGTCACTTAACCTCTCTTGGTTTTCTCGAGATGGTTGATCTTTCTCAAATGTTGCACCCCTCGATCTTTCTCATCGCTCTGATTTGCCACCACAAGCTAGTCACCCAAAGGCACCACAGCACCAATAATAAAAGGCGCGAAAGGTACACAGAATGGGACGTTGGTAAGAGATAATGGTGCAACTACTAAATAACTATATATACCTGGTTGCTCACTTGGGTAACTATCCATGTCCATCTCGATCCACACAAAAAAAGGTTGTAACAATACCTCCGAACGACCCTGGATGATCACCCACAGAATTCTGGCTGGGCTGCGATGAACCAAAAGGACAGAAGGATATCATACTCATAGATTCAAACATTTACCAAATATAATAGATTTGAAAGAACTATACGAACCTGAGTTCAACAAGCAAAAAGCACACCATTTAACCTAGCAACCTATCAAACAAAATCCACCCAAAAAGACAGGGCTCCTCCGTCGGCTCCAACCAAAAGGGGGGTCCGTCCTGCTGCCCAGCGCTGTAGCGCAGCACCTCATAAGGAGAAGGGCACGTGGTGTCGACATGGCCAGAACCAGTTCTAAAGGGGGTGCCACGCAGGTTGGTGCAGGTTGGTGCACAAGAAGGCAACCCAACAACAGGTTGGGGTTTCACGACTTTAGGGTACATCTGGATACCAGATGTGAACGGGCACGTTTCGGCGTGCGGGCACGTTTTCGACATGACCATGGCCAGAACCATGGCCAGACATGATCATTCAGGGTGTCAACCATCCAGGAGTCTCAGTGAGATGAGCACGGCTTTGGTGGGGTTTCTAGACATCCAGCGGGTCGTGGAGGGTTTTCCAGGTGCACCGAAGAAAGGACCCCACAAGTTAGTTACCCACCAGGAGAGTTGAGCACGGCTTCGCGTGGACAAGAATCTAGAAGAAGGAGGACAGGGCCATACAGGGCCTGACAGGGCACCAGGGATTCTGGGACAGAACCCATCTCGAGGGATGTCACGGGATGTCTATATATATATATATATGTTACATGTTAATTTCATTATATATGTATATATAGTGCTGGAAATTTGACAAGTCAAAGCCGGTCTGTGAGGTGGGTACAGTGCCATGCGAATCCCTTCCCTCTAACCAATTGGGTATGTCGGTATGTCTATCAAAGAGAGTATCGAGACTGCTTCAGGCCGGATTTAAATATTGTAGCTCCCTGCCCGGTGCATGCAAACATGACAAGTCAGTTGAGTCATGTATTATCTTCAACATTCTTCCCATCGAAAGCCGTGCCAGTGTTTTAAAGAGGCAAATCACAAACCAAAAACAAGTATTAGAAACAAACTACTAGGAACAAAGGCATCGCTACTAGGAGCGTTCGGACGGTACGTTCGGGGCTCCTGGCCTTACTACGAAGGGAACAAGGACGCTACGAACGGAGCTTTTTCCACAACATGAGACACCATGTCTGCCCAGCCCATGTCCCACCTTCGCCCGCAGCGATCTTCTGCACCTGTGGCTTTCACGGCCACGAAAAGCACAAGCGAAACCCTGGAAACCTCCCAAAAGCGCATGGTCTAATCCAACTAATTACGTAGGGTGTTGAGAATATCAAACAGGCCATCTGGAAACCTATTTCAACCAGAAACAAATCCTACAGAATCCTACAGTACAGGTCAAAGACCTCATTTTACTGGAGTGTTGATCATACAAAAACACTACTCAATGAGGCAAAGGACCAGGTTATTTTACTGGCTCTTTGGACCTGTAGGGAATGGTTGGAAGTTGGAACCCAATATCGCTTGCTCTTTACAATCCTTTACATCACAAGTGGTTGGGACTGGCGAAAAATCAAATTGTTTCTACTTGTTCGGGTTTCCAGGGTAGACTCTTGATGACAGTAATAACCCCCGCAAACTGGGATTGTAAAAATTGTTATGTCACATGGGGGTTGAAATATGCTCCAGAGTCTATATACATGACCCTGCATTCTTCCATTCTACACATACAAAGGGAGATTCAGGATGAGAGCTCCCTTTCTTTTGTGAAATCAACAAGCACCATCCTGTATCCTGAGTGATCAACCAGCACCATTTTTCAACAGTCCAACAGTGTGTTGTACCGAAAGGAATACTTGGCCAGCAAGCATGCTGTGCATTTGGTCTGAGTCTAATCCACGATTCAGTATGGACAAAGCCAACACCAGTCTCTGCACATTTGCTGATTCACTCAAATCCTTCCAAACAGGAAACCACCACAACCTCGAAACATCCTGAAACATCTGACACGTCTTCACCTCTGCTGTCTTGGGACATCGCCTACTCTCTTGCCTACTACCTGTTGTCAACACCGACTCGAAGCGTCACATCCACTGTCTCGCCCGCCTCCTCCGGCCCCACGGCACCTCGGATCGGGGGGGGAGACGTAGTGACCGGAAGAAGACGGGTCGCCGGTGGCGTTCAAGACGGCTTCATGATACATTGGCACCCGGGAATTCTTCAGGTACAACAGTCATCTTTGAGTCATCAGGTTCAGGATTGGTTCAGTTGACCATTCTCATGTTGTGAACAGTCATCTTGATTCATCTTGGTTCTCAGTTAACAACAGTTCTACGACGTGATTCTACAGCCATGTCAGGTTGGTCAATTCGGGCAGCACCATCAGCATGGTCGTCATGCAAGAGAGATGCAAGAAAGCAAGAAAGCATAGCTTTCAAGGACCGACCAGTCACACTCAATGCTAATATGCGTTCAAAAGACAACATCCCAGCCTACCAACACACCACCCATGATCACCCAAAAACCTACAACAGCCAATGAAACCATACTTCGCATAATTCCAAGCCACTGAAAATCCACTTGCCTCGAATCCCACCCCACTGGATCGCTCCCTTTGGTCGCGTTTTGGCCTTCGTTCAAGAGCTCCTGGAGGATCCGCTGCTTGGCCGTGGCCTGGCGACGCAGTGGGACCTGGTGGTGTCAAGTTTTCGGTTTTCGTGCCCCCCCAATGTTGCATGTGTATGGTTGGTCCCTTCGAAGACTTACTTCATGATACATCATCATACTATATATATATAATATTATGTTGTGCATGAGGAATGATCAAACACCCACGGCTCCTGGATGCAAAATCAACCAACCTGAAATCCGCGGAAAGCATCAATTTCACCCCTTTTTTGTTTAAGGCAACTCGCTGAGACGGTGCTTCAAGGGCTCCCCTATGTTCCCCCCAAACCTCCATGGCCTGGTATGTCTTACAACTTCGCCAACACCATTTCTCTTAGAATGTTGACATTGGAAAACACCAGGCCTGAATCAAAACAACAAACCTCGAATCACAGAACCATTTCGCAGAACAAACTAACGCTGCTTCCGACACCCAAACTTCGGGATTTCGGTGAAAAACTCCTTGAAAAAAGAAACAACAAGTTTCACTCTTTTCGCCAGAACTTGCCACTTCATTGACTCCAATCCGTAAGAAAAAAACACCACCAAACCACCGATCGTCTCTCTTTCCGCCGGTCCCAACTCCGGCACGACGGACG